CCAAAAAAAAAAAAAAAAAAAACTTTGGGAAGTAGCCCTCTAGGGGCAGAGCAAGGCACCAAGTCCAGACTTCTTCCAACAGGAAGGAGCAGTCTCTTTCTTACCCATCCGGGACACTGCCCATCCCACTTACAGGAAGACTATGTGACCTGTCCAGGGACCTCTCTGCCTAACTTCTGGACACTGACAATAATGAGGAAGTTTGAAGACAGCCAATGCTTATTGAAGTTAGGTAACTACTGGGCAAAGCACTTTATGTACAGTTAATCATAACACCCAGTAGGGTGGACACTGTTACTGTTACTGTTTCCTTTTACAAAGAGGGAAACTTGGGCCCAGAGAAGGAAAGCAACCTGAGCAGTGTTGAACAGCAAAACAGCTAATGGTAGAATCTGAACCATCTTGAAGAAACTCTGGGGCTCCTGCTGCTCTTAGCCATTAAGCAAGAGTACTTTACTCTAAAAGACCATTTGTATACACTTGAGATTAAATATTTTAAAATTGCAGGCCTGCTGGTACAGGTGGCCAGGAGTTGCTACAGTGTCCCACTGTCCCCAGAGGGTCAGCTGATGCAGCAGTGGGAATGCATGGATGGGCGTCTTTCCCACACCTCTGGGGAGAGCTGCTAGTCAGGGGCCGGTTATTGCCCCCTGCAGGTGCTAATTAGGAGAAAAGTGGAAATTAAGTGAAAAGGGGCAACTGAGAAGTTGCCCAGAGGCTGAAGCTAGGAATTACCCCTTTATGATATAGGTCACATTCCAGAGAAACTTGTTACAAGATGGCAGATTCTGTGGACAGTAAAAAATAAACTGCTATGTGAGCCACTGTATCTAATTTGGTAACCGCCATGGCTTCCGGGATCTGTGCATGAACCAGCTACAGGTCGCCTGATTTTATTTCTAAGGGATAACCCCTGATTTTCTTTACAATAAACCATCACACCTCTTTGTTTCCCAGGGTGATAAGACAGAGGTGAGCAGTGCGTCATTATTCCCAATGCAAAGAAGAGGGAAAAAAGTTAAAGATTATTATTATTTACTTTTCTTTTTTTTTTTTTTTTTGGTACTTGGGATTGAACCCAGGGGTGCTTTACCAGTGAGCTACATCCCCAGCTGTTTTTTCAAGTTTTGAGATGGGACCTAGCTAAAGTTGCTTAGAGCCTCACCAAGTTGCTGAGGCTGATCTTGAACTTGCAACCCCCTGCCTCAGCCTCCCTCCTGTGTTGCTGGGATTACAGGTGTGCAACCACCATGCCCAGCAAGATTATTAAGAGAGCTGAAATCCAGAAATGTGTGCTAGTTCCAGACATCAGACAAAATTAGTACAAGACTAAAATGAATGGAATATGCACCCCCCCATCTCACCTGGTCTGGGCTTGGCTGTCTTGGCGGGTTGAACAAGGCTGTGTGTGGTGTATGTTTGCTGTGTGTGGCCCCAAGTGTGTGAAGGACCTGAAGCCCGGAGGGTGAGCATCTGCATCTAGATAGGAAAGACCAGCTGAGGTCCCTGAAAAGCCATGCCTCAAATACCTTTAGAAACCTACCTGGAGGGCTGCTGAAAACGAAGTTTCTGCCTTGCTCCTTAGGCACAGGATGGGGAGAGGGTGGTCAGCCATTGGCATCTATTTCTCTGAGGTTTTCATGACACTTGCATCTGGCTAAATGTGCCTGTGAAACAGACCACCTTGTCCAGTGAGAAACAGCTCAAGAAGATGACTTGCTCCAAGGTCACAGGGCAAGTGGAAGCCCAAGTTTAGGTTAGAAGACCCAAGCTTTCTTTGGCCTTAGACTGCAAGGGGAGAGAGGAGGGGAAGACAGAACTCATACAGTGTGTGTGTGTGTGTGTGTGTGTGTGTGTGTGTGTGTGTGTGTGTTTGCAATACTGGGGATGGAACCCAGGGCCTCATGCATGATAGGCAAGTGCTCTACCACTGAGCTACATCCCTAGTCCTTTATTTTATTTTATTTTTTAGTTGTAAATGGACACAAAATCTGTATTTATTTATTTATTATTTTTAGGTGGTGCCAAGGATAGAACCCAGGGCTTCACATACTAGGCAAGCGCTCTACCACTGAGCCACAAACCCAGCCCACCCCTAGTCCTTTTTATTTTTTGAGACAGGGTCTCACTGAGTTGCCCAGGCTGACCTCAAACTTGTGATCCTTCTGCCTCCACCTCCTGAGTCCCCGAGATCACAGGTGTGTGCCACCACACCTGGCTAATTTTTATTTTTGAGATAGGGTCTTGCTAAGTTGCCTAGGCTTGTGATCCTCTTGCCTGACTGATCCAGTTCTTGCCAGTTTGTCTCCAAAAGGGCACTCACTGGTGGAGCAGTGATTTGGGGTTTGGACTTGGCAATCAGGAAATTAAGATGTACTTTTGACTCTTGACTGTGTCACCTTCCCAGATGGACAACCTCTCTGGGCCTTAATTTTCCTTATATTTAAAATGGACTCAAGAACATTACCTCCACAGGGCGGGGGGTGAGAGTAAGAGATGGTCGACATAAGTTAGGGTTCTAACATGGGACTGAGGTGGGGGACCCCCTCTCACTCTGCTTCTTTTCTGGTTTTTCCCAGATGTGGAGGTGGATGGGCAGAACTGGACCTTTGCTTTTGATTTCTCCTTCCTGAGCCAAGAAGAAGAGCTGGCGTGGGCTGAGCTCCGGCTGCAGCTGCCCAGCCCCGTGGACCTCCCCGCCGAGGGCCAGCTCACCATTGAGATCTTCCACCAGCCAAAACTGGACACAGACAAGGACCCAGGCAACTGCCTGAGGCGTCTTCGGATGGAACTGTTCACCATCTCTTTGTCCCAGGTCACTTTTTCTTCCGGCAGCATGGTCCTGGAGGTGACCAAGCCCCTCTCCAAATGGCTGAAGGACCCCAGGGCGCTGGAGGAGCAGATGTCTAGTCTGTCCCGAGAGTGCTGGCCACTCTCCCCCACCCCCCCTGTCACTGGCACCAACGTGCTCCTCATGCTCTACTCCAACCTGCCCTGGGAGCAGAGGCGGCTGGGTGGCGCCACCTTGCTGTGGGAAGCTGAGAGCTCCTGGCGGGCCCAGGAGGGACAGCTCTCCCGGGAGAGGGTCCTGAGACACCGGCGGCATCACTTGCCAGACAGAAGCCAGCTGTGTCGGAAGGTCAAGTTCCAGGTGGACTTCAACCTGATCGGGTGGGGCTCCTGGATCATCTACCCCAAGCAGTACAATGCCTACCGCTGCGAGGGCGAGTGCCCTAACCCCGTGGGGGAGGAGTTCCATCCCACCAACCACGCATACATCCAGGTGTGACGCCAAGACAGTAAGCCCTGGGGACGTGCTGTCAGAGGGGGACAGGACTCCAGCTCTGCTGTCGAATTACCATGTTTAGTCTATTATAGCCATTCAAGCACCTACCATGTGCCAGATCCTGTGGGAGGGCCTAGGAGGACTCGGGGACTACCCTATAGAGCCCGTGTGCAGTCATGCCATAAGTGGGGGGGTTACCCTTGACACACTGCTTCCCTAGGACTTCTTGTCTTTCATAAAATTAGGGAGGGGGGGTAAAATAGAGGGTCTCGGGTCCCCTCTAGCCCTGACATTCTAGGAAGGAGTCTTTTTGATTCCTACCCATTAGCTGTGTGAAAGCTGCTTATTCTCTTGGATCTCAGCTTTCCTACCTGTGAAATGGGGAAGGCAGTGCCATATCCCATAGGGTTGCTGTAGGGTTCATGAGATTATTGGTACCCAGCCTATATAGTAGGTGGCAGGTACTAGATGTGTTTGATTCATTAGTGAAATGGGGGCTCTGTGTATGGGGCCATGGTTACAAACAACACTGTTACAGCCCTTGTACTTCTGCTGCCTCAGACTGTAGCTGAGCACTCATTTCGCAGGAGTAGACAAGGCCAGAAGCTGCCACCAGGGGCCACTAGTCAGCGCAAGGGCTAGGAGGTGGCAGAGGGAGTGGGACAAGACCCGTGTAGGAGGCAGGATGAGATGGAGAGAATATAGAGCCTGATGTGGCGGCCTGGTGTTAGAGGTGGCCCTGCCCTGCTCTCAAAGGTCATAAGGGACCAGAGTGTTTTAATCTACTCCGTGAAGCCTGGAGTGAATCTTTGGGACCTGCAGTCCATCTCTGTGCCAAGTCCCAGGCAGATTCAGGGCCTCTGAGGAGCATGACCACGTAAGCTGAGCTCCTCAAGGGAGTCGCTGGTGGGCCACAGCCTCAGAGGACTGCTAGGCAGAGGCCCTCCTGAGCCTCAGAGGTGCCGCTGCCCCCACTAGCCCCCTGCCTTGCCACCAAGTGGAAACCCAGGCAGTCCCCAGTGTGAGCTCTCACACTCTGAAGAGATGTCCACAGGAACAGGTTCCTAAATGTCAACGGGGTGTCACCTTTCTTCTTGTTGACTCTGCCTGCCCTTCGCTGGCCAACAAAACAAATCCTATGAGAGCTTCCACATGATTCCCTCTGCTTCATAATTCTGGAACTAAACCAGCAGTTTCTTGGAATATTTTTAAAGTTGGTATTCACTTTAGGCTAGAACAGTAGGACTTGTAAGTTAGCTACTGCTCTACCCAGAAACATGAGCCTTAGAATCTCTTGGTTAGGTTGCACAAAGCTATTTTAGCTGTGAGAGTTGATATATTGCCATGCTGGATGCTGATTCTTTCGTGAAAATCATTTTTCTTCTATTTTTGCACCTACAAACTGATTTTTTTATTTTTACTTTTTAGTACTGGGGATTGAGTCCAGAGGTGCTTAACCAGTGAGCCACACTGAGCCACATCCCCAGCCCTTTTTTATTAATTTTTTTTTTATTTTGAGATAGGTTCTCACAAAGTTGCTTATAACCTCACTAAGTTGCTGAGGCTGTGATCCTCTTGCCTCAGCCTCCTGAGTTGCTAGACTAACGGGCATGTGCTACTCCACCCTGCCAATAAATGATTTTCCACTCTTTCTTACTCCTTACCTAGAAATAATACTCTTCTGACCTACTGCTAGGGATGTGAACTGACTCTCCTCCCCTTCCTTCCAGAGTCTGCTGAAACGCTACCAGCCCCATCGGGTCCCTTCCACCTGCTGTGCCCCAGTGAAGACCAAGCCGCTGAGCATGCTGTATGTGGATAATGGCAGAGTGCTCCTAGAGCACCATAAAGACATGATCGTGGAAGAGTGTGGGTGCCTCTGACCACATCCTGGAGGGATGTCAGATTTGCCTACACTCCAGAAGGTTGGGAAGCTCCTGGAAGACGTTACACTTATCCAGGGAGAAGAAACAGAGGGAAGAAGCAGCTCTGCCCAGCCGAACCAAAGAGGAAGGGCTGCCCGCTCTGTAAATGAAGGGCCCTGTGAGGTTGGCCAAGCCCAGAGGCCCTGGTCAGGAGGAGGGAAGAGAAAGCCTTGCAGAGGGCAGAGTGCTTGCTGGATTTTCTTTTTATCGAAAAGACAGTAGCAAGTAAAAGTGCAAGCGCAAGAATTCTTTACCCAATTTGTTTTTAAATTCATGAACCCCTTGAAATTGTGTGCAAAGTTGGAGCAAATGTGCATTTATTTTTGAGGTGGGGCAAGGCGATCTATAGCTTTGGCGTATTTTCCAAAGCAGTCTGTGAACCACTGCTTCTCCTTCAAAGATTAAGTATCAATTTATTAGATTAAAACTATTGGCTCTCGTTGCATCAGGCTGGGGTGGGGGAGCCCTGCACATCTTCCTGGTTGGCCAGTGGCAATCTGTTGGCTGTGTTCAGAGGCTCCCTGGCATGGTCTCTGCTAATGAGTTGCATAAACAATAAAGCCATTGTCTAGCTCTCCTAGGCCAGCTGGTGCCTTTAACAAGAGAGCCAGGAACTCCTAGAGGACTGGCCATGTTGGACTACAGAAGCTGGAACCCTCAGACATCCCTGAGTCAGTCTGCTTGGCAGACACAACTCGAGTCTATTAAAGTCGGTGACACTTCACCTCCTCCTCTCAATGTGTGCGGTTAATGAGGGCCTTGCGGTTCCTATTGAACAGGGGTTAAGGACTTATTCTGGGTGGCAGGAGACATGGACTGTAGTCACTGAGCTATGTGACCTCAATTGAGTATTCACTGCTCAGCTTCCTCTTGTAAAATGCAAGACGGTGGGTGCTAACATTCATATGGGGTGTATTAGAATACATTCTGGGTATGACTGAGGATGTGGCTCAGTGGTAGAGTACCTGTATAACTAGCAAAGTGCAGGGCCCTGGGTCTGATCACCACCACCACCAAAAAGTCTTGTTTGGTGGGCTCAGAGACCTTGAGTTTTAAGCCATAGGCTGTCCTCTGGGGCCTTATCCCTGTCATCTCCTTCCAAAGCTTGTAAGGCCTGTCAAGACCAGTCCCTGGCATATTCTTTTGCCAGCTCTTTTTTTTTTTTTTTTTTTTTTTGGTATCAGGGCTTGAACTCCGGGGCACTCGACCACTGAGCCACATCCCCAGTCCTATTTTGAATTTTATTCAGAGACAGGGTCTCCTGAGTTGCTTGATGTCTTGCTGTTGCTGAGGCTGGCTTTGAACTTGCGATCTACCTCCAGAGCCACTGGGATTACAGGTATGCACCACCACACCCAGCCTTTGTCAGCTCTGAGACTGGCTTACTTTTGGTTGCACACGCACTACAGAAAGAGGACCCCAAGTTTTTCTACAGGAAGTTGTGGCAGAATATCTGAGCACAAATCTTCATCTTCTGGATGGAAAAGGCAGCACTTCTTACCTGCTTAACCTTGTTGAGCACTGCCAAAACAGGGGCTATGTGGTGGGGGAGTACATTTGATGAAGCGTGTGAGCCCAGGGAAACTGATCCCCTACCCTGTTTCCCAGGAAGCCTCTCAGCTGGTCCTCCAGCCACAGAATGATCCCAACTGTATGGGAACTTCACTGAGCTGACTTGACTCATCTGTAGACTGAATCAAGGTGACAATTCTGGCCCAGGCTGGGGCTGGACTTGCCAGAACCAGATCTGGGCCTGAGAAACCTCAGTGCCTCAGCAGCAGTAGATATAGCTGCTCATTTCCTGAATGGAAATGCACCTGCTCTGGGGTTAGCCCAATTCAGAATCGCAATGGGATCCTGCATCTGATTTTACTTTGGATGTGCTCGCTTCGGCAGCACATATACTGATTTTACTTTGGAGGACAGTAGGGCTGGGGCAACCCTGTGAGGGCAGCTTGTCCCATTCTCTTTCCTGAATTAGACCCCAGGAGGCCTCATGGGCTGGCCACAACAGGGTATTGTCCTTAACAGCCATCTACAAATTTTTGCTCACCTAGCTTTGTATCACCTTGGCCTTTAGAATCAATCTTGAACCCAACCCTACCACAACCTGAGGGCCTTTGTTGTTTTTAAAGAAGTTCTGAGTTCCCCAGCTGGCCTAAACTTGCCACTCTTCTGTCTCAGCCTCCCAGGTAGCTAGGGTTAAAGGCATGTGTCACTGCACCTGGCTTGGCCTGAAGTTCTCAGAAATGGAAATACCATCCTAGCATGCACAAGGCCCTGGCTTTAACCCCAGCATCTCTCTCTCTCTCTCACACACACACACAAACACCATCCCAGGGCTTTCAAGAATCTTTACCCAATGGCTCTTACATAGCCTGGGCCAAGAAAGTGGAAGATGGACCGACTTCTGGCTTTCTAGCTCATGGGAACATTTAGTCAGCTTCTCTGTTGACTCAGAACAGACCTCCCTGATAGCAAGGCCTTGCTTCCCCTTGCAAGATGACAATGCAGGCACAAAGTGGTGACTCCATGCCTGACCCCTGCTAGTGCTTCCTGTGCCAGTGACACAGCAGGGTCATTCTGCTGCCCAGCCAGAGGTCTGTGGGCAAAGCCTACTGCCCTAACCTGGGGAGCAGCTCTCAGCTTGAGGCTGTGGGCTGGCTGGTCACTGTCTTTGAGCAAGTACTGCCTGAGCACCGCTGTCCTGCCTGCACTGGGGCTTACAGTAATTTTAACTTGCTCTCAAGGCAAAGTTCCACTTAGTGTTCCTTCAGCAGTACCAAGTCAAGTTCGAAGGGGAAAAAATGGATGCATTACTATTCATAGCTGGCAGGGGGTAAAAACAGAAAGACAAATTTTAAGAGGGCAGCAGAAACATGGAATCACAGGCAAGGAAGTGGCTGTTGCCTCTAGATGGCACCATAACCAAGAGCTATCTCCACCCTGAAAAACCTCCCTTTTTATCAATAAGACCCTATCCCTCTGTCCTAATTGCCTTTAGGGCAGAGCACAGGATGTCTGGAAGTGCTTTCCAAGTTATTTTGTCCCCATCTTCCCTTACAGAGGTTTTTTTGTTCTTCTCCTTTCTTTAGACAGGAGCCAGGCTGGGATTACAGGTGTGCACCACTGCACCCAGCCTGGGTGCCTGTTCAGTGGTCAAACTTGCTCCACTCCCACACCTGCACACATGGAGGGAATGGAGACCCAGCTGAACAGCTAGCTTCTGGGTGTGCAGGCCAACAGAGCTGGGCTTGAGTTCTTTAACAAGAACTGTTTATCCTGAACTTTCTGTATCTGCAACCAGGTTAAGTGTGCTCCATGATCCTACCCAAGCCTCATGACAATCTAGAATTCCCGCTCCCCTTTCACTTTTGAAAAACTTTCTTCACTCCAGAGAAAACCAAGGCACAAGAGACTTGAATCTTGCTGTATGGAGGCGACTCAGCTCCCAGCAGCAACATTGGAAATGAAATTACCCAACTCCAAGGCCTCTGCCCTTAACTTCTGCACTGGAAATAAAACTGGACCTTTTACAGTCTGTGAACAGAGCCCACATAATAATTTTCCTACAGGAAAAGGTCATGTGGGCTCTGTTCACAGACTGTAAAATATGAGAGGACGATTCTTCTTTTAATATTAATTTGGGGACTTGCTGGTTTAACAGCAGGAGTCTGATGCTCATGCAGCACACCTTGGTTTAAGACACCAGACATGCACTTATCTAATGAAGGCTCCCAAGGGCCAGAAACAGCCCTTCTGAGAGAGGGAAAGGCGTGTGGGCCTCCTCAGGGATGATGTACACAAAATTGCCAACTACCTCCACTCTCTGCCCTATCAGCGAAGACTCCACAGATGTGAAATAACCCTCAACAGTTCACCTGAAACATTGAAAAAACTAAAACACCAAATTGAGGCTGGGTGTGTGCAGGGAGTAGCTCAGGGGTAAAGTGTATGCTTAGCAAGTTCAACAGCCTGGGTTCAATCTTCAGCACAAGACTCCACATTCATACTCAAGATCTTTATTGATTTAACTGTAACAGCAACCATTGGTGAGAATTGATTTTCCCCCCGCTAATTTCCAAACACCTGCTGGTTTGGAAGAACAGTTAAAAACAAAAACTGGTCATGGAATCACACAGGACTGCCTCAGAACTGCATGGTACCCTCCGTTAACCATCCTGACAGTGAATGGATGGGAGGGGTGAGGGGACAACAAACACATCAAGGGAGAGGACAGGAAGACCAAGAAAAGTGCTGGCAGTCTCTGCTTTTCCATTTGATGTGGTTGGAACTGGTGGTACTAGACAGGGAAGCTTTTTATACAAAATATTTTTAAAAGATGCTTAAAATGTTCACTAGAATATATAAGCATCCCCGGRGCTCTTCTAAACACTTTCTTTAAGGTTTACCCTGGGGTTGTGGAGGTCTCCTCACCCTGGTGGAAAAAGACGGGCTCGTCTGCAGGTAAAGGCAAGGCACTGGTGCAAGGGACTTGGTGATATGGATCAGACACCAGGAAGGAGTAGGATGGTTGGCCCAACTGGCCCCTTAGCTCAAACCAGTGTTCCTCCCCACTCCCAGTAAGAACTGCTCTTGGCCTGAGCCTTTTGTTTTTCTTAAAGACTCAGCTGAAGAGGAACACAGCAACAAGAATGAACATGCTGTGCTGGATTCGTGGAATTCCCTTTAAGTTTAATGTCCTGGAATTTGGTTTTAAGCACCGGAAAGAGCTCCCTTTGGAAATTTCAGCATGGTCAAGTGATTATCAAGCACTGTAGAATCTCTCTGCCAGCCTCCCACCTTGGAAAGGTGGCAGAGGAAGAGTTTAAATTCCCTGGCAAAGGTTTCAGCTCAGCATGGTCTGCCAGGGCCACGGGCAAAGGTGAACAAGCAGAGAGAAACCAAAGACCATTTGAACAGGGACTCAAACAACTTTCTGCTCAATCTAAGCTTTG